TTGTGTTAGGATTTGTGCCCTTTGGTGGATCGTTTGATGAATTTATTAGACCATTTATTGTAGAAATAAAGTCACTAAAAAGTGGTCAAATAATGAATATCCAAGGCCAAGAGTACTAGGTTATAGCAAGTCTAAGGGTAGTTACAGCAGATTTTCCTCAAGAGAATGATCTTGCTAGTGTTAAAAGGCATAGTGCAAATAAGGGATGTCGAACTTGTCAAGTTTCTAAAGGACATTTTACAAATAATAATTTGGATTTTAAAAACTTGTCAAGATATCAGCATATCACCAATAGCCAATTTCATGAAATTGAATCAGCCAAATCTATGCAAAAGCGTAAATTAGTTGCAACTAAATATGGGCTGTGCAATAGTATTTCAATATTAAGTCAACTAATATGGGATTGGCATCTTTAAACACCTCAAGACATCTATCATGCAACTGCTGGAAAGATAATGAGACTTTTAAAATTAACAGTTAATTTATTTTTACCAGAAGGGTCAAAAGGAATTTATTGAAGCTTGGAAAAATTTTGAATATCTAGCACACTGGGAACATTTGCCTAATCCAATTAGTCACCATGAAAGTTTTATGATATCTGACTACCTTCGTCTAGCAATGGTTATATCATTTATTTTTAACCGATTCTTAAAGACTTGTCATATTAAAAGTTTTGAATTAACAAATATTCAGTAATGAATAAATGCTAATCATACTGATTTGGTTTCTAAATCTTTAATTAAATGTTGGGTTTTAGTAGCAAAATCAGTACAATTAGTATTTAAAAAAGCATATTCAATAGATGATTATGAAAATCTTCAAAAATAGTTGGAGACAAAAAGTCAAATATTAACTCAAGTAATTATTGTTTATTTATATTATTATTATTATTATATATATATAATTTATAATAAGTCTGTTAATATAATTTTTTGTTAGGTTTTTGCTGAATTTGAGAATTTTCCGAATCTTCATATAAATAATCATTTACTATTACATGCATATACTTACGGCAATCTTGTAAATACTTCAGTTGGTACTAAAGAAATGGTTCACTGAATTTTTAAAAATCTAGTACCACAAACAAATTGCAAGAATATTGAATTAGATTTGTTGAAACGATATACTACATTATTTGCTATTCGGCATCTTATTGATGGTGGTGTTGATAGCAGAATCTCAACATCTAATCAAGACTTTGTCAATATTTTGCAAGATTTTATAAAATTATTTAGTGATTGGTTTATTACCAAAACTAATAATTTTATACAATTAGATCATGAAAATATTGATATCGAAGGTTATTATCATTTGCTATTTTTTCTTGTCATTACTATTTTATTTATTTCAGTAATATGTTATTGAATTTTCAACATACAATAACTATATAGGTAGCCGTCAATAGAAAACTAACTTTTATAGCTCATATTTCAATAAATTTTAAGGATATCTTGATGGTTTAATATTCAAAAGAAAGCTTAGATCAGAAGCTTTCTTTTGAATATTAAACTATCAAGATATCTTTAAAATTTATTGAAATATGAGCTGTGAAAGTTAGTTTTCTATTGACAGCTACCCATATACATTAATATAAACATACGTACTAATATATATATTGCTTATTTAGTACATTCACAAATTGAACATATATTTAATATTAAATTTAAAAAAAGGATTCATTTACAAGATCTTGAAGAAAAAGTACCATGTCAAATAAATAATTCTGAATTTAGATTAGAGTTATACCTTTTATATTGCGATTTTGAGCATATGGAAGCTCTCATTAATACAAGTCTAAGCTTTTATGAAGGTGTAACATATCTGGTAGAGAATA